GAAAGTTACATGAATGTGGTTTTGAGAATTCAAGAAATAGCAACAAATAGTTTCAAATAATTTCAAGAGAGAGGTGTCTAGAGGTGTCAGTATGAGTTCTCCTTAAGTATGTGTAACAGTTGTGTCCTACCAGTTGGTATAAAACTTTCACTATCTCTTTCTTTTGTAGCAAATGAGTGAATCATTTCCCATCCTTTGTCATGAAAGAAGCAGGTGGAATTTTGCTTGGAATCAGTGGCTTTTGTTATATGGAAAGAAGACACTTGATTATTTGAATCAGGACAATGAAGCATGTATGGACCTAAACCCAGTTCTACAAAATAATTACGATGATTCCTTTTCAATAATCAAAAGTAAAACACATCCTCATTCTAATCTAAGAGCAAAGAGGAAGAAAAAATCCACTTTAACTAGGAAACCAAAGAGCATCACCATTCAGATTTTATCTTTGGAAAGGCAGCTAAGTAATCTTTCAGTAAATTCTCAGAAAGGGACCTCTTTGGTTCAGAAAACCCATGGGCACTTCACCAAAACAATTACCAGGCATGTTGTAAGCGAGAAAAATATTCTTCAAAATATGTCCCAGCGTAACAAAGACATTCTTCTGGCAGGTGGAAAAAGCCCTATAGGTAACATGGAACCCACTCTCTCAACTATCTCAAGAATAAAATCCTCACTTGCAGAGTTTTTGAAAAAACCACTAAAAGTAACTAAAACTAAAGAAAGATTCAAAAAAAGTAATGCAATTGTCGATTACATACCTTGCCCAAAATCAATTCCAGTTTGTGAGGTTCCAGGTGAGTCGGCTGGCTGTAAAATGCCCCTTTTAATGGATTGTTCCTTGAGAAACCCCAGTGACAAACTATCAGCTGATAGAAGCAGCTCTGACCAGGATCCCTTCTTAAATGAAACTACAACAACTGACATGGACCTCAGAGCCCAGGATCTGGACTCTTCAATGGGGAAAAGTGGAAAGACATGGAAGGAGATGACAAGTTCATCCTTCCTGTTAGACTTAATGAACGAAAGCCTGGAGTCTGAGAAATCAGAAAATGTAGCCGTATATTCAAATGATGAGAGCAGTGGAGAATCTTCTACTGTGATAAGTATTCCGACAGCATCACCTGATACTTCAGAATCTCCATGCCTTTCAAGGCCTGAAACAATGAACAGCTGCAGTGACAAAACAACATAGCTCCGACCCCTGAAAGTGACTTCTTGTTGCAGGGACTGACAATATGTACACATCGCACAGTTCATTAAATTTTTTGCCATGTTATATATCAGGGCATTTGCTGCAATAATTGAAATAGAGGTGGGGCATTGGAATGTAGCACTTTTCAGAGAGAAAAATCAAGATATATTGAGAATAACAAACAAGAAAAAAATGTGAATGTAAATGGTATTTTTTCCCCCCCTGGTGTTACTTTCCAGTTTGCAGAAGAATGTGGCTCCAAAGGATTAAAATATTTTGCCTTGCCTTGCCTTCTTTTTTACTTTTCTGGCAATGGGATGATGGGATAGAGAAAATTTCCATTCAGTGATTCTTTCAAAGGTGATTTTTTCTTCTTCAAAAGACATCTGGACCGTTTTTTCCTTGAAGAACAAGAAAACGTTTAGCTTCTCATCTAAGAAGCTTCTTGGATGAGAAGCGAAATGTTTTCTTCTTCCTCAAGAAAAAAACAGTTGACTTTTGAAGAAAAAAAAGCACCTCTGAGACAACTGTGACCTGGATGACTGGAAATCTCCAGACATTCAATACAGAGGTGGTGTTCAGTGGGTTCTGACCAGCAGAAATTTTGAGTAGTTCGAAGAACCGGCAAATACCACCTCTGACTGGCCCCGCCCCCATCTATTCGCTACCCAAGTCCCAGCTGATTCGCTGGGACTTCTTTTGTTGCCGTGCACAGGAGAACGGAGCTGGAAAGCAGGTTAGTGGGTGGGGAGGGAATGGGATTTTGCAGTATCCTTCCACCAAGCCACACCCACAGAACCTTAGTAACATTTTTTTAATCCTACCATTGATTCAGTGGATTGTTTGCTGAGAGGTGAAAATGTTTCTCTTTCGGCAACACAAAACATTCTACTCCAGGCCTTATAAATACTTGACTATGTTTTTTCTCCACATTTTTCAAATGGCTCATTCAATTAAAAATACATCCCGGCTTTTAATGCATAGTGCTTTGCATACACCATTGTTCTCACCTCTCTTGTACAATGGGAATTGGATCTGCTGTGAGCTGAATCAGTGAACTTTCAATTCAAAGAAAGTTACAGATGAAACTCGAAAAATTAGAATATCGTGGAAAAGTTCATTTATTTCAGTAATGCAACTTAAAAGGTGAAACTAATATATGAGATAAACTCATTACATGAAAAGCAAGATAGTTCAAGCCATGATTTGTCATAATTGAGATGATTATGACTTACAGCTCATGAAAACCCCAAATCCACAATCTCAGAAAATTAGAATATTGTGAAAAGGTTCAATATTCTAGGCTCAAAGTGTAACACTCTAATCAGCTAATTAAGCCATAACACCTGCAAAGGGTTCCTGAGCCTTTAAATGGTCTCTCAGTCTGGTTCAGTAAGAATCACAATCATGGGAAAGACTGCTGACCTGACAGTTGTGAAGAAAACCATCATTGCCACCCTCCATAAGGAGGGAAAGCCTCAAAAGGTAATTGCAAAAGAAGTTGGATGTTCCCAAAGTGCTGTATCAAAGAAAGTTATGTGGAAGGGAAAAGTGTGGAAGAAAAAGGTGCACAAGCAGCAGGGATGACCGCAGCCTGGAGAGGATTGTCAGGAAAAGGCCATTCAAAAGTGTTGGGGATTTTCACAAGGAGTGGACCAAGGCTGGAGTCAGTGCATCAAGAGCCACCACACACAGATGGATCCTGGACATGGGCTACAAATGTCGTATTCCTCTTGTCAAGCCGCTCCTGAACAACAAACAACATCAGAAGTGTCTTACCTGGGCTAAAGAAAAACAGAACTGGTCTGTTGCTCAGTGGCCCAAAGTCCTCTTTTCTGATGAGAGCAACTTTTGCATCTCATTTGGAAACCAAGGACCCAGAGTCTGGAGGAAGAATGGAGAGGCATACATTGCAAGATGCTTGAAGTACTGTGTGAAGTTTCCACAGTCTGTGTTGATTTGGGGAGCCATGTCATCTGTGCTTCATTAAGTCAGGGTCAACGCAGCCGTCTACCAGGAGATTTTGGAGCACTTCATGCTTCCTTCCACAGACGAGCTTTATGGGGATGCTAACTTCATTTTCCAGCAGGACTTGGCACCTGCCCACACTGCCAAAAGCACCAAAAACTGGTTCAATGACCGTGGGATTACTGTGCTTGATTGGCCAGCAAACTCACCTGACCTGAATCCCATAGAGAATCTATGGGGCATTGCCAAGAGAAAGATGAGAGACATGAGACCAAACAATGCAGAAGAGATGAAGGCCACTATTGAAGCATCCTGGTCTTCCATAACACCTCAGCAGTGCCACAGGCTGATAGCTTCCATGCCACGCCGCATTGAGGCAGTCATTGCTGCAAAAGGGGCCCAAACCAAGTACTGAGTACGTATGCATGCTTATACTTTTCAGAGGTCCGATATTGTTCTACGTACAATCCTTGTTTAATTGATTGCATGTAATATTCTAATTTTCTGAGATTGTGGATTTGGGGTTTTCATGAGCTGTAAGCCATAATTATCACAATTATGACAAATCACAGCTTGAACTATCTTGCTTTGCATGTAATGAGTCTATCTCATATATTAGTTTCACCTTTTAAGTTGCATTACTGAAATAAATGAACTTTTGCACGATATTCTAATTTTTCGAGTTTCACCTATAGATGTGCAGATTGTTTTCCTTTGCACTTCTGATCTTCTAGCCACCTGCCTGAATTTACTTTTCCTTGTAAAGTGATTTTTGTTCTTCAATTGACTGGATTAAAACAAAAAATCTGGATCGAAGGGTTGTTTTTATACATCATCTTCCAAACCAACCTTTTCTGCTGTGAATCAAAATCTTGCTTACATGAACGCTAGTTATCAATTTAGTTAAAAGATTGGGTCACTATTACATGTTGCTTAAATAAACTTAGGAACCTCAAGAGGATTGTAGGAAAAAGGTGTAGGCAGGCATCCACGTAGGACAATTGAGCCCAGAATTTATGTTGCTAAGGGAGACATTTGTTAAGTCAGTTTTAGCAATAGCAATAGCACTATATTTATATACCGCTTTATAGCCCTCTCTAAGCGGTTTACAAAGTCAGCATATTGCCCTCAACAATCTGGGTCCTCATTTTACCGACCTCAGAAGGATGGAAGGATGGGTGGGATTTGAACTGGCAAACTGCAGAAGTAGCCTGCAATACTGCACTCTAACCACTGTGGCACAGAGGCTCCTCAGTTTTGATTCATTTTATGACCTTTCTTGCCACAGTTGGGTAAACCACCGCAGTTGATTAAGTTAGGAACATAGTTGTTAAGTGAATCTGGCTTCCCCATTGATTTTGCTTGTCAGAAGGTCTCAATAGGTGATCACATGGCCCAGGGACACTGCAAAACGGTCGTTAAGTCTGAACCAGTTTTGAATTTTGAAATCACATGATTTTGAGGGAACGCTACAAAGGTCCTCAGTGTGAAAAACGGTTCACAAGCCGATTTTTTTCAGTGCCCTTGTAACTTTGAAGTCAATAAATGAAGCGTTGCAAGCCGAGCGCCACTCGTACATTGATTTGGCTCGCCCGTTAGCTTTTAAGTATGTCCTACTCTACAAATGAAGATGACGTGACTCACAGTCCGGCCTTTCTGGAAGATACTACACAGACGAAAGCCGTCCTACAAGTAACGACGGCTACAAGCCCGTCAGCCGTTTCTCCCCTCCGCCCCCAAAACTCAGGCAAGGCCACCCCCTTTTCCCGCTCCAGCTCGCGCTCTCCCGTGGTGTTTTTTTTTTTTCTCCTCCGTGGCTCCGCCCCCTCCGGCAACCATGTCGGCGGGCGTGCGCAGACGCCAAGCAGCTGGCGTAAAAGCAGAAGCTCCCTCGGTCGCCGTAGTAGCCGCTCCAGCTCGCGGAGATGAGGAGCTGGGTATGGCGGCGGCTTCCAGGCTCTCCGCCTGCCTCAAGCTGCTGGCGGCTGCCTTCTACGGCTTCAGCTCTTTCCTCATCGTGATGGTGAACAAGAGCGTCCTCACCAGCTACGGGTGGGTTAAGGAAGCGAGCCCGGGGCGAAGTTCATCGGCGCTGGCCCCGGTGGAAGTTTTAGGGGGCGGCGGGTGTGGGTGTGTTTGCAAAACGACGCGTCCAGCTGCCGGGAGGGAGGGAGGCCGGCGGCTCCTTCTTGCATGAACTGCTGAGATGGCGAGGGGGGGGGGAAGCTGCTTTCATCCTCCTCGGAGGCTTCTTGCAAAGCCCTCACCCCAGACGTTACCTTAGGAGAAAAAGCCGCCTCCATGTTAACGGAGAAAGGGGAGCGACGCTTGCTCATCTCTCCCGTGTGGATGCCCGGCAGGAGGTTTTGCTGTCCGGCTTTAGCATCTCCTCCGATGAAACCCCTTGTATTGTAAGCTCTCTGGGCTGAGAAGTTGCCCGTTGCCTTTTCTTCTCCAGGACTAACTGGAAATGACAGGGCTCCCCTGTCCTACAGCTAGTCCTCGATTTACAACAGTTCTGTTAGTGACCGTTCAAAGTTACAGCGGCACTGAAAAAAGTGACTTATGGCTGGTTTTCACAGTTGCCACCTTTGCAGCATTCCCGTGATTCAGATGCTTGGCAACTGGTTCCCACTTATGACCGTTGCTGTGTCCCAAGATTGCGTGATCACCTTTTGCAGCCCAAATTTTTATGTCGTTAAGTGAGTGATTTGTTAAGTGAGTTTTGCCCCCTTTTAGGACTTTTCTTGCCACGTTTGTTAAATGAACTGCTGCAGTTGTTAAATTAGTAACACAGATGTTTATGCGAGTCTGGTTTACCCATTGACTTTGCTTGTCAGAAGACTGTAGAAGGAGATCACATGAGCCCAGGACACTGCAACAGTCATAAATGTGAATCAGTTCTCAAGCCTCCAAATGTAAATCATGTGATCATGGGGATGCTCTAATGGTCATAAGTGTGAGAAATGGTCATAAGTAACTTTTTTCAGTGGCATCATAACTTCAAATGGTCACTGAGTGAACTGTTGTAAGTCGAGGGCTACCTGTAGTTGTATATGGACCTCTGGGGCTGGAATGAGCTCCGCTGGCAGGTTGAATTTGGAGGGGCTGCTAGCGGTGTGGAGTGCCCTAAATTTCCAGAGGACTGACTGACTGACTGACTGACTTGGCTAGTTTGGGATTACACTTGCCCTGCCATTCTCCTCCTTGTTTTAAAAATCCCTTGGAAATCTTCCTTCCTTCGACGTTACATGTTTTTAACTCATCTCCCATAGGTGCCCTGTAAGTTTGCCTTGTTGATTGTTCTGTGTCCTTGCACCTTGACGTGCTTCTGGAATAGGTATACTGTAAGTGCATCTGTGCTGAACATGTTAGGACTATGTTTGCAAGGGCGTTGGTTGCAAGGGCAAAGAATATGAAGCGCATCCCTTATTTTAGAATAGTTTTAAACAAGGGTAAAGGTAGAGGCAGGGCATTTTTCCTGCCACCAGCTAACACTCTCCGTTGTCTATGATTTGTCAAAGTTTCTCGGCTATCTAGTACGGTTTAACACGTTTGTGGTCTGTTACAGATTTCCTTCCTCGCTCTGTGTGGGACTAGGCCAGGTTTGTTGAAGTCTGCATTTCAGAAATTCTTTAAATAGTGGGGAGGGGCAGGGAGAATTGGAGGCACCTTAGTGATTTCTCTTCCTTCTCTTACAGATGCTGGCTACCGTAGTTGTCCTTTGGGTGGGAAAGGCACTCAGGGTGGTCAAGTTTCCAGATTTTGATAGACATATACCTCGAAAGGTATGATGTGTTTCTTGTCTCTCTCTTTCCTAAAACTAAAAATTATTGAGATAGAAGTAGTGAATAATCCTTTCGTTAAGATAAATATTGTTTGGTGTATTTGGCAGAACACACTTTAAAATGCATAAAAAGTGCTGTTAAATATGAAGAATTTTGTATAGGGTTATTCTCCTAAGAGAGGGATAAATACTAAATGTATTTTTGGTATGCATTGGCAATCTTCCTAAGAGTCAGCCTCAGTGACCGATTTTTTATACTTCTAAAAAAGCCTATGAAGCTTGTGGAGGAGTAGAAATACTCTTTGAAAAGAAAAGCTTTGCAGTAGACTACGTCCCTATTTATGTTTTTAAATTCTTCTTTTCCCTTTTAAAAGAGAGTGAGGGAAGTTTCCACACAGGCTTCTATTGCCTCTTCTTGAAGTGATGTAAACTTTTCCCTTTAGAAATACAATGACTTAAATGCAAAAGGACTTACTTCCAATTAATATTCCATGAAAATTCAATCTTCTGTATGCTGGAATAAATACATTAATTATCCTATTTCTGAGTAAACTTTGATAAGATTTTGTCTCACATTACTGAAATGTTTATTTGTGTCAGAATCCCCCAATTATGAGTCTTGAGGCTATTTACATAACTTGCGTATTCAAAGAACTTGTTTATCAGACCACGGTACCGTATTAAGAGTGGCTGCTTTTTGTATTTATACCAATGTCATGCCATAGATTCTTAGTGTGCTACTAATGTACACATATGAACAAGTAATTGACTTGATTTAAACATGACCTCAGTTTATGAATACTTTGCCTTTACATGCCCAACATAACTTGAAATAATAGATATTCTGTTAATGGCTTTATAAATGAACAATGACTTGAAGAAAAGAAGGATGTATGTGCTTGTGTTGTAAATTGGATTTCAAAATCATATTTATTTGACATGCTGAAGCCGTTAAACCACACTTAAACAGCATTGGGCCTGTGGTGTGCCTGATGAAAGCTGTTCATTATAAAACTGTCATTGTTTAGAATGCTAGGCGTCAAGCTGACGTTATCTGTTCATTGAGTGCTGTTTTATCCCTTTTTATAATTTTCTAGACTTTTCCACTACCTCTTCTCTATTTTGGGAACCAAATCACAGGACTGTTCAGCACAAAGAAATTGAAGTATGGATAACTTTTATACATTTGTGAGGTTATAATTTTATTATGCTTTTATTAAAACTATACATCTCTATAGCAAGACCTCTAAAGATATTACTTCTGATTACTTCAAAATACTAGTTGCTCTGGGAATACTAAGGTGGAGATTGTTCTTAATCTCTTAAATGGAAGAGTGGATAAACCTGATAATAATGAAAGGGGTGATATCAGCTAGATTTCTATATACATTATTATCTTGCATCTCAATCGTCTAGTTATTGAACTCAGAATAAATCCTGTTAATGTTTTCTAGGATTTTCAAGTAAGAATGTCTTTGTCTGGCAAGACACATATGTTATTCTGCAATCTTGCATGTGTAATCAGGAACATAAAGGTGGAAAAATTAAAATAGAAAATGCATACTCTTAAGTAATAAATACTTTCTCAAATTAGTGTTCTGTGACTGCATCCATGCCATTACCTTAGCAATTTTACTGAACGTGGTTTGCTAGTGCTTCTTCCAAGTTATATTTTTTTTACTTCTATGCCTAGCTGGTCATCCTGGAATATCCTGATTTAATCCAGCCCTGGATTAACCATTAAGAAAATAAATACATGCTTAGGCCACCAAGGGAAAGGGGGCAGCACAGAGTTTTCACCTTAGTGTGCCTTTAATTTTTTCAGTGCCACACTTGACTTTAGTTCTGAATCCTTACTGAGTCTTCATAACTTATCAGTTAGGCAATGGAATGCATGTAGAGCACCATTGTTGAGTTGTGTTTAGGGCCTTGATTGGCCTTAATTTGCCTCTGAAATCCCCTACCTAAATCTTGAGGTAGGAAACTAAGTCATCCTGCTTAGGCACTGCTACCTGCTGAGGCATTATTACAGATAAAAGGTAACCCTGTGTGATTTGAGCCCTACCACCTGTTTGCTTGTTCTGTCTCTTTTTCAGTTCATACAAACTGCTTTGGTCAGTTGTGAGTGCCTGGAACTGGGACACTAACAATGCTTTTCTGAAGTAAAGAGGAATGCCTGCCTTAAGGGAGGTATAACATGCCCTTTCTTGACGAGGCCTGCCATAAATTTGACTACTTTTGGCAAAAAGAAGGTGGTGGATGTTCAGTTATAGAGGATCCTAGAAGAATACTTTATCTGGATAAAGATCAGTCAGGTTTCACACCCAGACATAGACAATTATCATGGTGGTTGATGATCAACTGTGAATTTGATAAGGGGAAGACTCTATTGGTACTTTTAAATTTTTTGGTAGGAATTGATTCCACTGACCACTTGTCAAACCACTTATAAGGGTTTCAAATTGGGATTACTGTTTTATGGTGAGTTTAATTTTATACGGAGGGTGATCCAAGTCAGTAATAATAGAAGAGCAGCACTCAAGACTGCAGCCATTTCCTTGTGGAGTGTTACAAGCCTCAGTGCTCTCCTTTGTGTTGTTCAACATCTCTATAAAACCATTGGCAAGGTTCTGTCACTTCAGGATTGAATGTCATTGGTATGCTGGTAGCACTCATTTTTACATTAGTACCCTGAGTTGAACAACTGGTGCTATAAACTGCCTGAATTTATATCTGAAGCCCATTATACCAATGACTGCATCTCAAAGATCCCTCTGTTAACGTACTGAAGTTTGCAGATGATACAACAGTGATTGGTCTCATTTGAGACAACGATGAATCTGCATACAGGTGGGAGGTTGAACAACTAGCCTTGTGGTGCAACCAGAACAATCTTGAACTAAATACACTCAAAACAGTAGAAATGGTGGTAGATTTAAGGAGAAACCTACTATACTATCACCTCTTACAATATTAGACAACACAGTATCAACAAGTAGAGGCCTTCCAAGTTTCTAGATTCTATCATATTTCAAGACTTAAAAAGGACACCTAATATCAAAAACATCATCAAAAAAGCACAACAAAGAATGTTCTTTCTGCGCCAACTCAGAAAGCTCAAACTGCCCAAGGAGCTGCTGATACAGTTCTACAGAGGAATTATTGAGTCTGTCATGTGCACCTCCATAACTGTCTGGTTTGGCTCTGCAACCAAACAAGACAGACACAGACTAATTAGAACTTCAGAAAAAAACAATTGCTACCAATCTGCCTTCCATTGAGCACCTGTATATTGCATGAGTCAGAAAGAGGGCTGTGAAAATATCCCCAGACCCCTCACATCCTGGACATAAATTGTTTCAATTTCTACCCTTAAAATGACACTATAGGGCTCTACACACCAGAACAACTAGACACAAGGGCAGTTTTTTCCTGAATGCTATCACTCTGCTAAACAAATAATTCCCACAACACTGTCAAATTATTTACTAAATTATTCTCATCCTTCCTAGTACCTATCTCTTCCCACTTATGATTATAACCATATTGCTTCTATCTTTACAATTTATATTGTTTTATTGTTTCCTAGTATGATTTGATTGCTTTTTAGTATCCAATGACTATCATTAAGTGTTGTACCTTATGATTCTTGATGAATGTATTTTATTTTTTCTTTTCTTTATGTACACTGAGAGCATATGCACCAAAGACAAATTCCTTGTGTGTCCAATCACACTTGGCCAATAAAGAATTCTATTATATTCTATTATAATCTGAATGAAGCAGAACAAACTAAAATTCAATTATATAAGTTCCAAACTTGCATTTGTAAAAATCAAGTTGACCCATTAACAATGGACCTGGTAATCACCCTGAATAGAGCTTTGCTCCACCTGAAGAAGTTGGTCTGTAAATTGGGTCTCCCTGGATTTATAGTTTCAAATTAAATAGCTGGTGGAAACTGTGGCCAAAGGAACTTTTGTCAACTTTAGCTTATATGCTGGTTAGGACTCTACCTTGAGTAGGATGTCCTATCAATGGTAACTCATGGCTTAAAACAACATGTGTTTGAACAAAGTGAAGACATTCCCCTAATCTCCACTGAAGATGTTATCTAGCCTGGTAACAAAATGTTCAGAAACTAACCCACAAGCTCGAACAACGAGCCTTCACCCTCAAGATTTAAAAGGATTCAGTTCTGAGAAGTTACTTTTTACCCAGTTGACAAAGTGCTGTTCTACTATCTTATCTAAGAAATGCAATACATTGCTAGGTATAGCAAGATACTGGAACATGTGACCTTTATCAAGTGGTTATGGAATATTGTTAAATATGATCTTAAACTCAGAACTTTGTGAGTTTATCTCCTTTCAAGGGAATAAGATTTGAAGCAAATACATGTATTCCTTAGCAATCTGTCTATATAAAGTTTAGTAGAAATACGGCATTTGACTATGTTTTTGAGCTTCATGTTTAGTTATAAAATCTTTTTTCACTTTTGGGGTTATTGATATTAGTCCAGGCTTGGCAGATTCTTGGTCTTTTTTTTTTTGTTACTCTTTCTGGCAGTGTTGGAGGCAATCTTTCCTGCTTATACTTTTCTTTTGTGCTGTTTATAATGGTTTATCTAGATTAGCTTGGTATAAAAGTACTGACTTGGGGCATCTCAAAATGATTAGCTTATTCAAAAACATTTTTTTTTCTTTTCTGTCTTAGTCTGCCAATGTTTACAGTCCTGAGACGTTTTTCCATTTTGTTTACAATGTTTGCAGAAGGAATCTTACTCAAGTAAGTTAAAAAATTTGATATATTTCATGTGTCTGTGTTGGTGGACACAGTTCTGCCAAATTTATTATGCTTTGTGGTCACTCAATAGCAATCATGAGAACTGTAAAGCATTATGGAATCATCAATTTCTGAACGTTCTTTTCAAAGAGCAGCATGGGTGTGGTAGTGTATTTTTATATTGGAAACTCCAGCAAATTTTTTAATTCTATTGAATTTTAGTGCATAATTCTATTTGTTCTTTGTAGATAACCATGGTTATTTTGTGTGGAGGTTCAGGGGTTAAAGACTTGAATGTGCAGTTTGTAAACATGGTCAGGTGCTTGCAAAGGCTGCATCACCCTTGTGCTAAATGCAAAGAACCCAGGGAAACAGACACGAATCTTCCCTGTCATTGCTATAGTAACATGTCAGGATCTAGTAGAAAGCTCATCAGATTACCTTGATTTCTTGAAAGTTCTGTTTTCAATTAGAAAAGTATTGAGAATTGCTGAAAATTTGCTGCAGTAATGACTAAGCTTTCTTTTTAGGAAAACATTTTCTTGGGGAATTAGGATGACAGTATTTGCAATGATAATTGGTGCATTTGTAGCTGCAAGGTATGGTTTGACTTTTTTTGCTAATGCTTTTGTCACATTTTCATACCCAAAAGTTAACTAGTTTGCTATCATTTAGATTCTGTCCAATGATGAGAAAAGAGTGCAAATGTAGGTTATTTCCTGTTGTTGTAGAACGGATATAATACACCATTAAAGCAGCTATATTGCTGAATTACAACAAAAATGGAAAGTTTTATTTGTCTAATATCTATTCCCATGCAAAGGATTAAGCAATAGAATTAGAAAGTGTTGAACAAGTGTTTTGTCTGAACTATGTTTTTAAATTCTGTGCAGCCTAGTGGTAGGTTTTCTTGTATAGTATTTTGTTGAATATCACATTTAATCAGCAAGATAGACTAGACTAGACTAGACTAGACTAGACTAGACTAGACTAGACTAGACTAGAATAGAATAGAATAGAATAGAATAGAATAGAATAGAATAGAATA